TATTATTCTAACTTGACCCATAGTGTATTTGGCAATAGAGAATTCGTGTATTAGGTATTAAGTTGCCGCATTATCTAATCTGTCGTCATTATTGCAAAATGCTATTCATTTATTTACTATTTTCTAAAGAATTTTAATCATGTTGAAAGTTGGACGAGATAGCTCTTAATAAGTCATTAAAAAGCAATATTGGTTTCTGATCATATAAAAATAAAAATATTTTGATACTCCATTACACAAAAACCGGCCAAGTGCGTGTCGTGCCACGCGCAGTGAAGGGTTCCGTAGTTGCCTGTAGTTACCACAATATATTTGAGCAGGAGTCTTTATTTTCTATATCGGAAATTAGAAAAACCAAATAATATCAATTTATGTATCTCAACTAAAATACATAAATCAAAGTCAAAATACGTCTCAAACTCAAAATCAATTCGATATTATTGTTTTTTTTAATACGAATGATAACCGGCGATTTTTTTTTCCACCCAGGCGTGGGAGACCTACAGCCGGTTGCAAGATTATGTCAGACGACTAAAAGCTTCATCTGAAGCGATCATCCCCTGAAAAGAGGATGATGCGGTATAACCGCCGATCTTTTCAAGTGCTCCTATACTTGTTATAAAAGCGTTGCGTTAGCGGGACTCAGAAGCCATTGCCGTTGGTACTTGCGGTAGCGTTGTGGAACTAAGAATATTTTATTGAGGTTTTTAAGTAATTTTATTTTCATTTTGTTTATATGCAAGGTTTAACGCTACAATAACTTCATGTATGTCAGTCACTATTAATGTTTTCTTCTAAGGAATTTAAAAAGGTAAGATATTTTCTTAAATAAAGTTTAACGACTATTACTCTTAAACTTACGAATCTATCTTAACCGGCATAGTTTTGCTCAAAAGTTCATGGAAAGCTATATATTATCATGAAATTTTCAGGTTTTTCAAGCCAATAGTTTAGATTTTAGAGAGGGGGACGCCCTACTCGAACAAAAATTAGCACTTTAAAGTTCAATATACCGCAAACAGATTCCTAAATCGAAAAATAGTCTTAGTAAGTAAGTAACCCTTAAGTAGCTTTAAAGGATCTATTCAACAACCCCACACGCTGGGTAGATGATGAAAAAAAAACATCCCCAGGTTACATGTAGGGGAGCTACCCTAAAACAAATATTTTTCAAAATTTTATTCTATCATTTTGTCGGCATGGTTGATATTATCTCCACAAAATTATAGCTCTCTAGTGCTAATAGTCTCCAAGCAAAATCAGGGACGGACAGACAGACATGACGAAACTATAAGTGTTCCTTGTCAGGACTACGGAACTCTAAAAAACCGAACAAGTGCGAGTCGGGCTCGCCCACTGAGGGTTTCATACTTTGTAGATACACAACATAAACGGTCGTATCTTTTTTTTCGTTAACTTAGAAGTGTGATTTTGGCACAGCTATAATGGGACCATAAACTTGAATAGGTTAATGGTGGTGGTTGGTTTAAATTTTGGCTCGATATTTCCACACGTTCCCGACATAACAGGTCTTGGCAGAGAGACAGATAAACGGCCCTATCTGTTTACCTTAATATACCAAAGCACCACAGGCCAAGGCTCCGCGTCCAGCAGTGTTCAAGCGCCGTATCTGGCATTATGGGTCGGCAGATTGTGACGGTATGCGTGACTACTTTGCGTCCATCCCTTGGAAGCAGCGCTGCTTCAATGACAGGGACCTATCGGCCAGTGCCGTTGCCATTACTGAGGAGATTATAATGGGTATGGAATACTATATTCCCCAATCTGATCTCATCAGTAAGGGCACACGTAACCTCTGGTTCAATCACGACTGTGCTGAAGCTGCTTCGCGTAAGCAAGCGGCATATCGTGCTTGGATCAGAGGCCGCGCTCTCAAGGATCCCGAGGTCGATTCACTCAAAGCAGCCTACAATTTTGCTTCCAAGGCCTGTAAGAAGGCTTACATCAGAGCGGATGCCCAGCGCGTTGCACGTGTTGGCTAGGAACTTATGACGCATCCTACGGGCTCCCGTAGCTACTGGCGTCTGGCCAAGGCCGTGAACAAAAACTTCTGCGAGCCCTCGCTGCCACCTCTGAGATGCCCAGACGGAACACTAGCCCATAAGCCGCAGGAGAAAGCCGATTTACTGGCAAAACACTTTGCGGCTAACTCCCGAATCGATGATTGCAATGCACTGCCACCATCATTACCTCACTGTGGCACAACGATGCCTGATATTAAAATCAGGCAGCGCGAGGTTCGTGCCGAATTGCAATCACTCGACATCCGGAAAGCTAGTGGACCTGATGGCATCCCAGCAGTAGTACTTAAAAAATGTGCAGCGGAGTTGTCTCCTGTGCTCACGAGCTTGTACCAATGCTCGTATTCTTTGGGGCGTGTGCCGGAGACTTGGAGAGATGCTAATGTGCAACCGGTGCCCAAAAAAGGGGATCGCTCAGACCCGGCAAACTACCGGCCAATAGCAGTCAACTCAGTTTTATGTAAAGTTCTAGAAAAGGCCCTTAATAACCATCTGACCCGCTACCTAGAGGATCACTCCCTGATTAATGATCGTCAATATGGTTTTAGACCGAAACGATCGACGGGTGATCTTCTAGCGTACTTAACTCATATCTGGGGTGAGGCTATCGACAAGCGTGGCGAGACGTTGGCTATCAGCCTTGACATTGCCAAGGCGTTCGACAGGGTATGGCACAAAAGCCTTCTCTCCAAGGTTCCGGCATACGGTCTGCCAGCCCAGTTCTGTTCTTGGGTAGCTGAATTCCTGGATGAGCGTAGAATTCGTGTCCTTACGGATGGTAGCAGTTCGCGGTTCATGTCAGTGAATGCCGGCGTTCCCCAGGGCTCCGTCCTATCCTCCACTCTCTTTCTGCTGCATATCAATGACTTAATTCCTCTTGGGAATATTCATTGCTATGCAGACGATAGTACAGTGCATGCGGGGTATCTCGGACAAGCAGCGGCTGCGCTGGCGGTAACCAAGGAGAAACGGGAGAATCTTGTCATTGAACTCAATCAGGCTTTGGACGACATTTCCGAATGGGGTACCAGGAACTTGGTTGAGTTCAATGCCAAGAAAACTTAGGCTTGCGCTTTCACGGCAAAAACATCGCTATTCCTTCCCCTTCCCTCTCTTCAGGGCACAACACTACCGCTACAGAGCAACATTTCCATGGTCGGTATGGAAGTTCGCTCAGACCTGAATCCAAAGAACTACATCGAAACCGTGATCAAAACAGCTTCACGCAAACTCGGAGTCCTGAACAAGGTGCGGCGTTTTTCACGCCCGATCAACTGTGCTTGTTGTACAAAACGCAAGTGCGGTCCTGCGTGGAATATTACTCGCACCTCTGAGATGGCTCCGCCAAGTACTTGCTCGATGCTTTGGATAGGTTACAGCGGCGCGCGATCCGCATCATAGGCGATGAGGAGGTGACTAAACGCTTGAGCCTCTTCAATTACGCCGTGACGTGGCGTCACTAAGCGCGTTCTATTGTCTGTACCACGGCGAGTGTTCTGAGGAGTTATTCTCTCTTATCCCACCTTCTCCTTTCCTTCAAAGGACCACGCGCGCTGGCCTACGTTGTCATCGTCTAACTGTGCCCCAATTCCAACGCGTACGAAGAAATTTGGTGACTCATTTCTTTGTCGCACTATCCGTAAATGGAATTCTCTGCCCGCTCACGTGTTCCCTCCCTCTTACAACCTGGGATCCTTTAAAAGAGGCGTGAAGAAGCAACATGCAGGCCGGCAGGGTGAGGATGGCTGGTGTGGCAGGTAAAACTGCTGTATCAGCTATCTTCACGTCTGGACTTCACCTTCACTTAACATCAGGTGGGGTGGAGTCATATGTCGGACCTATCTATATAAAAAAAAGTACCTAGAAAGAAGAAGAAAGAAGAAAGTTTGAATTTTTCACAGCTTAAAGGCACTTTAGACGTGCTTTAGATCTGAGTATAAGGTTTAAATTTCAACTAAGTACCTCGGTCTTGACAGACAGACGGACAAAAAGTGATCTGATATGGGTTCCGTTTTTTTCCTTTTGAGGTACGGAACCCAACTAATTACATGAAATAGTATTTAATTCTTTTTCTTTCCTTGTAAAAAATGAAATCAAGGTAAGGTTCTCTGAAAACATTAAGAGGTATTGAAAGCTTGAGGCTTGGGAATTTCCCAACATGCACGCACGCATTGCATCTCTTTTAGTTATCATCATCATCATCAGCCTATTAATGTCCCCACTGCTGGGGCACAGGCCTTCCCTATGGATGGAATAGGGAGATTGGGCCATGACCCACCACGCGGGCCCAGCTTTTAGTTATGGTCATACTTAAATCAAATGACCGTGAATAAGCTACTCTACAGTGAAAATGAAGTCTTTGGTGAAACAGTAGAGATAGTAGACAGTATATAACAGTGAAATAACACTACTTGGTGGTGCAGTGTTTCTGTCTTGGAACTTTACTCATAGTTCCAGGGCTCCACGGTGTAGGGAATAGGGTCAGGGTAACCGGCGCCAGTGCTACTCTGTTAACGCAAGCGTCTATGGGATATGGCGTCACCTACCGCCTTTGTATATAAAAAAATATAAATACTAACTCCATTGTGAGAACACATCAGAACGATAATGGTGTCGATTCTAGCATGATTCTCTAAACCTAAACTTAAATTTGACAACAATGTATCCTTGTCATTCTCTATACCGAATGAAAAGGAGAGACTGATGTTTAATTTAGTTTTAAGTTTAGAGAATCACGCCAGAATCAACATCAATGAATTACTATAACCTTATAAATGAGAAAGTTGTTTGTAGTAAAAAAATCTTTAAATGTTAAATGCTAGCATAAAAATAAATAAAAACCTTTTTCTGATTTTTTCAGACCTGTATCTCAAATTCATAACTTTTTCATTTATATATTATTATTATTATATTTTAAGTCATTATATCATGAAAGTTTATTTAAAATCTTTACCATACCTGCATATGCCGCGTCGGATTGAGGCCAGAAGCTGCCATATAAGTGGAACTAATTGTCTTTATCTTAATTATATCTTTGCTGAATTTCGCATCTTCTAATAGCTGGAAGAATAAATATAATCTTTACTGTCTATTATTACTTCTTTAAATATAATTTTATAATCAGCAAAATTAACATTAAATTACATCACAAGATGAAATAATTATTTGACAATATTTGAAAAAAACTTGTCCTTAAATAAATATGTAAGTTTAAGTAAGCAATCCCTCTGTCTACTTATACCCATAATTATAGAGGTGTTTGTTCTACTTTTTTTTAAAGATATCTTTATTTATGTTATATATACAATATATATATACATATATATAGAGCTTCTTCGCGGTTTTAAAATCTGTTACTTTTTATGTTGTACGGAATAACGTCACGAATTGCGGGCAATATGTGTTTATTTTACATTATTATATAAAAATATATACATTCTAAAACAAATTTAATCAATTAAAGTGGACATAAAAGCATTAAACATAACGACGAGTTTAATTAAGAGAGAGAGAGCGAGAGAGAGGCCAATATTAAATTCCAAACAATTCCTTAATTAAATCGAAAGTTTAGGGTGTTTCATTAAATTAAATCTTATGCTTTAATAAAAGACAAATTGAATCATAATGAAAAACATGAATCAAAATTCAGTATAAATGTCAGCTGTAATATTCCTTAATGTTTATAAACACAAATATTATAATGTTATATTACGTTACATGAATAAGTATTGTGTCGTGTTGAAGCATGAACACAGTGCAAAAATAAAAATTACCAAATCGAAGTCCGATATAACCTCGTTGAGAAATCGTAAACATTCCAGGCCTTGGTTGTTAACAGTTTCTTCCGAGTAAAACTCTGAAACAGTTCATAAAATTCATGAGTTAAACGTGTGTACAGTTAGTATAGTGTAACTTCATTTCAGCAGAAGACAGATGTTTATTCATAGATACGAACGTATGATTACAATTAATGGTTTCTTTCTTGTGTTGTTAAATTTAATGCGGCAAATGATCTGAAATATAGAAGTAACATTCGCAAGGTATAATAAAACTAAATATAATTGTTGATGTTTGACATCAAAGTAGAGTGCAAAACATGATTTTTATACAAGAAGTAGCAAATTACCCCTGCTGTTAACTGTAATTATAATTTGTGAAAGTAGCTGATGTGGCAGTAGATAATACCTATACTCTATTCAATTTTCTCGGAGACAAAAAGTAAACACATAAACCAAGTTTCTAAAAATTGTTTATCGAGAATAAAGAATGCCGGGTGTAATCAGACTGGCTATAATATTTCGTATGTCAACGTAAATTATTTGCTTTATAACTACTCTTAAAGGAGATTGCTCAGCTTCCATACATGTTTGGCCTAAAGACCAATAATCACGAAAAATTGTTTCCTAGATTCGAAATTATATATAAATTACTGTAGAAACGAATATTATTGACGGACTCCCCTGAGAACTTCTATAAACCATATACACTGAACATATTAAAATAATAAAAAACAAATAAGTTATATAGTAAACTAGGGAAATCAAGCCAAGTACCGAAATTATGGATTAGATTCAGGTATATAGAGCATGTAGATTAACAGATAGTTGCCTGTTTTTAAAGTTAATGCATAAGAGTAACTTTTAAAATCAGGTGTCATTTCCGGTTATAATAAGGCACTGTGACAGAAATTGTGTGATGATTGTGAATGAGCCACAGATTAGAGAGAATTTTTAAACTCTTGTTAACCAAAGAAAGCTAAGAGATTTAGGTTCTATAGCCATTATATTCAGTAGCTTCATTATTTTTGTTATGTTTTTAAGATAACCATATTTTAGATTTTTAGTGTATCACACCTTATAATTTTATTTATTTATTAATTTAAAGTCAGGAAACGTAGGCCCATAGATAGATACCTTAAAGTCTAACATATATACAGATTATAATGTGTTTATGGAGGTGTTTGGCAAAAAATGTATGGCAATAGACTTTATGATGTCGCCTACCATCTATAATAATTATCTGAGCACATTTGCATCTAGTGAAAATGATAATATAGTGGTGGATATTAATACCACAGTGTAATAAAAAAAATGATTTATTTTATCGATCTTTACAAAATAGATTTGTTTTTATGTTAAATAAACAACTTCGATCATTCTTTGGCTGAATGTTACTACACCCATAGCCATTAAAAATGATTCGTATGTTTTCCAAACCGGTAATATTAAAAGTCCTTTTTAAAGTAAATATATTATACAAAGGTGTCCGTTGAAATATAATGACTGTAAATTAAATTATAAATTACGCCAAGAATTACCGTGTATGTCAATATTTGTTGTGCATTTAGGCCAATTTGAGCAATCTCCTTTGTTGTATAATAATGCGTTCAAAGTTCGGGAATAGCTACAGTTTTAGGTCTTTTTGATGTCACTTTTTTAAATTGTGATTTTATATGCATATAAAATTCGACCTGTTAAAGAATCTTTTATGGTTTGTTTACCTTTTGTCTAAGAGGAATTTCAATAGAGTACTTATAAAGCATGCTACTCCGGCCATTCCAACCTTGGCCATACAAGGCTCCAAAGCCTTAACCCTGAACATCCTATCCTTTTTACTCTGAAATTTTGAAATTGGCTCTGAAATCTTACTCGGTAACTGAAACATAATACAATTAAGAATTCGTATTATTTTTCCGTGGTCGCCTGTAAGGCAAAAGCTACTTCCCCAGACCCGCGCTGCAATTCTAGTTAAAAATCTGCTAAAATTCTTCTGTATCTGAATTATCAAAATTTAGGATCGTAAGGACTTGAAAGCATGCCCGCGTATGTGTCCCTCAGCAAGATGAGAGGAAAGAGGATCTTCAGTCTTCAGGTGGTGGTAGTGTGTACTTACATTAAATTATCTTAATCTCTTTCCTACTCCGGAAGGCACATAAGTTGATTAAATTATCATCTGAAGATGTTAGAACCCATAAATGTGCACTGGTGGGGCATGAGTATCTGTCAGTATTTTTCAGTAGGTAGGGTACATACAACTTCATTGAGAAATTATTGTCATAAGCGTATTATGCGCAGGGGATTCCAGCGCCAAGTTACCAGTGCCTAATATAATTTAAACAAACATGAGTGGGTGTCGTAGAACACTCGGTTGGAACGAAGTTGAAAATAAACATCAGTACAAGTACACAACTACACACAATACGCTACGAAACAGCTGACAGACGCACTATGTGGAGATCGAGTCGGTTTCGGGTCATAAATCTATAAGTTCCATGTTTTTATAGATACACAGCTGATTTTTTTTTAGGTAATCTGAGATAAACGTACTTTTAAATAATATACAGTCTATGCATATAAAAATATATTTAATAATTGTAAAAAAATACAAAACATGAAATATTGAAAAATTATCATAAATTTACGACTAATTTTAAACAATGTGACCTAAATGTTATAATTAATACAAAATAAACACATAAAATTACTCTTATTAATTAAATATAATAAGAAAAAGAAAATAACATAGAATTATATTATTCTACTAGCTCTACAGCTTCATCTATAAGTTCCATAGACTTTTTATTGGAAGGTTTTCTTAAACTTGTTATGTAAGGGTCTGAAGTGTACAAAAGTGTATGTAAAACGTCTTCATTTGTAGCTACTCTAGAGCATTTTCTAGCATGATGAAGTCTGAATCGTTTATAGTCTTTGTTCCTTGATTCCTGGGCATCTTCGGAGAGCTGTCCAAGAGGTAACACTGAATAATGCCGAATTACACTTTCCCCATGAATTAGGACTTTATGGACAGATGGCATATAATACCACATATATTTACTAACATATCGTTGTGCTGTATCGAAAGCATACTGTCCAAATTTCGTAGCATTAATTACTTTTCCGCTAGACATAACTTGAAGTAAAACATAAAATCGTTTTATCAATTCCTCATCCACACCGGTAATTTCTGCAGTGCACTGATAATTTTGAAAAAATCGTCTAGCTGTATTACCGTCATTACTGTTACCAGAACCTTGCTTAGGTTTATCTATATTTAAACCAAGTTCTTCTCTGAACCTTCTTTGTACATATGTCTTCTTTTGTTTTTTCAAATCTTTATTTTCTGTCGTTGTAGCAGACCATTTTTCAAAGCCTACATTATAAGATATATGTAAAATTAGTTCCATGAATCTAATCCAGCAATGTAAAGTCGAAAGCCCATATTGATAAGAATTTTCGTCAACAGGTTTATTTTGTACTTTTTCTAAATTGTTCATCTCTGTAGGTCTTGCACCACAAATAGTACATACAGCACCTGATGAAGTTTCTGACAAAACTTGAGCCACTTTCCCGTCAACCATTGTCAAAAATAATGTGTGTTTGATTTCAATACTTTCACCATTTTTATTGATTAAGCTTGTTGTGAGAGCATTTCTTTGAGCTATAATTTCATTAACTACACTTGTAGTTTTCTCTGGTGTCTCTTTTGAAAATTCTATTAAAATGGGCCTACAAAATCTTACTGATGATGGAACAGGGTTTTCCCACAAAGTTTCATTTGTATTAATATCAACAAGTTTCAGAGGTACTAATGAAGATATAAATAAATTTGTGTCAGAAATTAACTCATCCTCTTCAGTTAAGACTTGCTTGTATTCACTTTGTCCGCTTGAGCCATCACAGCCCCATTTCGAATACAGCATTAAATGTTTTTTGCCAGCTTTGTATACACCATTGATTTTCAAAATTCTTGCAATAGTGTGATCCAGCAGATCTTGCAGTTTTATTTTTGCTGTAATATTATTAATTTCTATGCTTGATCTTGGTGGGTAGCACATTCCTTTAGCTTCCTGAATTGATTTATATGACGGAAATAATACGCAGTTCTTCGCAATTAAGCAATTTCTCATGTTTTCATACTGTGCCATGTTAAGGTCCAACTCTATAAAAATACTGAGAGCTTCATCTTTAGAGTACGCTGTTAAATGTGCCGGTTCATTTAAAAGATTTTGACGTATTTCACTTTTTTTATCTATGGGTAATACTCGTAAAATTTCGACAATGAATGCTTCTTCCGTTTCCCCTTGAGATCTCAATCCTTGAAGATATGAATTCAGTATAAAATCAAGGCCACATGTTTCAAGCAACTCCTTGTTTTTTCGTCTTTGTGTTCTATCGGAACTGTCTTTGTAGGTTTTAGAAGGGCGTCCTCGCTTCCCCGTCGATGTCGAATGTTCAGATTCACAAGTAGGATCTTCCAGATTTACTGTGAATGTGGCATTCAACCACAGGCTATTCTGATTTAAAAAAAATTCTTTATTTCTGCCAGATTTAGTGTAGCGTTGACGAAAGTTCGTAATAAGATTTTTTTGTACACTCGCGACAATTTTAGCGATATTTGCCTCAGAAAAGTTGATAAAATTATTCCGTATATAACTTGTTAAAGCAACAACATAATTCCCGTCACTTTCAATCAAAACAAGACATAGGTCGCGTCTGGTACATTGGAATTCACTCATTGCGAGAGAGTAGGTGGTTAGATACACTTTTAGTAACGACAATAACGAACGAAAAACAGTATGTAATTATTCAGTATGCAGATGCTCTATTTTATATTAAATAACTGATTTGAAACGTATGCAAAGTATGGGAATAAAAACTATTTATCATTATGTGGTTACTCGGTTTCCTATGTGTTTTATTGATAATTTATTTTGTAGGCGAACTAAAAATGGTGAGAAATACTCGATACATTATCAAAACATAAACCGCAATTAATAATATATCACAAGTGTAACCTATATCAACGTTATGATAGATAGCATTATGTTGTGCAATGAAGTTGCAACTTTTTTTTTCTTCCTGTATAAAAATATTAAATTTCCTATCAAATAACATCATTTACAGACCTTCGACAAATTTCGGCAACTGTCAAAACTCTGAAAGTTTCAGATACGCAAAAATTATATGTCTTGAGATAAATATTTCTAGTAAATATATTTATAAATATATAGCATATTTGTGTATATCAAAAAAAAAGTATATATTATAAGCTTTCTAAAATGGTATAATACTTGTATAATTTTCATTGCTAGCTTACTAGAAAATCATCCTGAAAAAAATACAAATTATGATGTTTTCGTGATAATTTTTCAATCATCGTATTTAGATGCTCTTTACTATAAAAAAGTACTAGTTACATACATAATTTATACATAATATAGTAGATCAACTTCTTAGCTATAGTTTGAGGTATAATACAAGTACCTGCGCCGATTTTTACAAAATGTATTTATGGCCAAGCTCTCTTAGGCACCTCCACATAGTGAGACGTGACGAAAAAATCTTACACTGTTTTCGCCTAGCCCCCATCCGCCAAGTCGTTACGGTGTGATAAGTAATATGTATTTTAGAATATCCATATTACTAATATTATAAATGCGAAAGTGTGTCTGTCTGTCTGTTACCTCTCCACACTTAAACCACTGAACCGATTGACATGAAGTTTGGTAAAGAGATATCATTCTAGGGGGTGAAAAGAGGGGTGGAAGTTTGTACTAATATTCCATGCAGATGAAGTCGTAGGCACCCACCGAGTTTTAAATAAATATTGCAATAATTAACATTGGGTAATCTTACCTACAGTTTTACAAATAGGCCTATCTCTTGCTAGTTTGATTATTGAAAATGGCCGTTAGTGCTTGGCATGAAACCAGATAACATAGGTCGATAGGTTATTAATGATGTTGACCTGAGAAGCTAGGCATTAAGGCAGAGAGCACACCGATCTCCGGGGAGCTCTGGCTGTATAGGTCGCGGTGTTGGTGGCGCGCTTGTCATCAAACCAATAGGTATGTTGATGGACTGTAGGTGATGATGACCTGAGAAGTTGGGCATGGAGACGAAGAGCACGCCGACCTCCGCGTAGCTCTGGCTATAGAGGTCGCGGTGGTGGCGTGCTTGTCATCAAACCAATAAGTTGATGGGTTGTAGGTGATGACGACCTGAGAATTTGGGCATGGAGGCGAAGAGCACGCCGATCTCCGCGTAGCTCTAGCTGTAGAGGTCACGGTATTGGTGGCACGCTTGTCATCAAACCAATAAGTTAATGAACTGTATTGATAACGACCTGGGAAGTTGGGCATGGAGGCGAAGAGCACGCCGACCTCCGCGTAGCTCTGGCTGTAGAAGTTGCGGTATTGGTGGCGCGCTTGTCATCAAACCAATAAGTTAATGGGCTGTATTGATAACGACCTGGGAAGTTGGGCATGGAGGCGAAGAGCACGCCGACCTCCGCGTAGCTCTGGCTGTAGAGGTTGCGGTAGTGGTGGCGCGCTTGTCATCAAACCAATAAGTTAATGGGCTGTAGGTGATGACGACCTGGGAAGTTGGGCATGGAGGCAAAGAGCACGCCGACCTTCGCGTAGCTCTGGCTGTAGAGGTCGCGGTACTGGTGGCGCGCTTGTCATCAAACCAATAAGTTAATGGGCTGTAGGTGATGAAGACCTGAGAAGTTGGGCATGGAGGCGAAGAGCACGCCGACCTCAGCGTAGCTCTGGCTGTAGAGGTCGCGGTGGTGATGACGCGCGCCCATGAAGTGTCGCGCCACATGTGGCGGCAACACGTTGTGGATGAGCGCCTGGTTCCGACGCCGTAGATCGGCTGCTTGCGCCGCCTTAACAATTAATAATAAATATGCGTTAAATCAGTACGTTAAAGTTATCGTAACTTATAAGAGGCATAATATAAGTCAGCACAAGGTAATATCCCGCCGGCGCTCACTGATAAAAGCTTCGATAAGTACCTAAGTTATAGACGGGTTGTTTGACTTGGGCTTGCATCGTGTGGGTTTGAAGGAGCTTTTTATTAAGCGATTGAGCAGATATATTATTGCTGACTTTTGCAGACTGGCCTCCCTGAGATAATAAAAAAAAGTAGAAAGACTAGGTATGGTAAAATGATTTCAGATTAAAAGCTGGACCATACTGGACGAGAGTTAAGCTATGAATTGCAAGCAATGGAACGAGCTGGAGGTGGCTTAAGTCAAAAGTTAATTGAAAGTTGAATTCAGGAGCATAATTATACTAATGTTAAAATATAATTCTATATCAAGAAACGTCTTTCGTCTCTTTGCTTATGTTTATTTACTTTTTGGTCTCTACAAATTGTTTAAGCACCTAACGCAGTATAGCCTTATAAGAAACTCAAGATTATTCAAAAGAGTAATAATCGCTGGGAACAAAGTAGGACGTTTTATTATGAAGTTTTGAGGTCCAAGTACGAATTTTGACAGCTTTACAGAGCTGTCCAAATTTGTGTCGTCAACGTCAAATTTTGTATGGGAAAAGCTAGTTTGTTTTTGCGTCCAATAGAGGCGTTGCTTAGTTTTCATAAAAACTTTGACATGTGATACGATTACAGATCTGTCAAAGTTCGTGCTTGAGCCTCTGTTAAAAATATTATAATACTAGCTGTACCCCGTGCTGTTACCCGCGGTTTATTAGGGATATTTTCCCGCATCAAAACGTAGCCTATGTGTTAATCCAGGGTGTGAGCTAACTCCAAATTTTATTAAAATCGCTCCAGCCAAGTCAAATGTCAACGTCAACACGTCAACATTTGGAAGGAAATGTCAATTTAGGTAATAAGCCGTTTTAGCGTGAAAAAGTAATGGCAGAATTACACTTATCTGTCGTGTTGTGTCGTGACGCATCAGAGAGCTATCTGTTTCATACACAAGTATAATTTTAACCGTACTTAATGTATGAAACCGATCGCGTCACAACACAACACATATATATTATACATAGTACATTAATCGCCGTGAGGAGAAAGTGACTGATTACCAACGGGGGTATAGTTGGAGCCCAAGTTGGGAATAGCACTTTCTTTCGAGGGATACAAACAAAATTTATACTGTCACTCCGAGGAAATAAAAGAAAATTGTTTATATATTTTTTTAAACATTAACTAATTCTTAATTTTTTTTTTAATAAAGTTACAGTTACTAAACTTTTGCATGAAAGCTTTCTTCTGGTTTCTTGATTCCACGGATAAAGATTCTTAATGACTGCGTAGGTAGTTTCTTTTAATTCTGGCGGTGTCAGTAAATCTTAATTATCAGAAATATATGCCGTCTCGAGTAGATAGGAAAACAAATTAAATACTCAGTTAAAATTAAATAATCAGAGCGCTTTTTAGTTTTTGTTCTTTTTTTCTAATATAATTACGAAATCAAATAATATCATTTTAAAAAATATATTGCAAAATCATACCGACCACTATTCGGAACATATATCAATAAAAAAAAATAAAAAAAGCACGATTACAATAAATTTCAATAGATTTTCTACCCGCTCAGCGTGTTAAAAATGGATTTACAGTCCGTTTAGCAGTACAAAAACGTCAATGTGAATTTGACATTATTATATCTATTAAATTTAACTAAAACTAAATTTAGTCCATACAAACACGTCAAAATTTCAATGTCATTTTTACATTTTTCTATGGGATATATCCGGTTTTAGTTAAATCGAGATCTAGCAAATTTGGTGCAAGTGGGTCTAAATCATGCAAAACAAGAGAAGTACTCTCTAAAAGCAAACTTGCCTGTGCATGCATACGCTGGCCACGCGAGTGCCGGGCCCGTTCCAGGGACTCCGTCTGAAAGGAAAAGGTAAACACGATTTATAAATAGCAGCAATAAGCATCTGCTAGATAACCGATACACTCTATCTTTAATCTATTGCAACAATATTTAAGTTTCACGAATGCAAACTAACAAGAACTCACATATCTGTGAAATATGAGTAGTGCAATCATAAGGAAGAATAGCATTATGATGTTCCGGACCGTGTGGATTTGCGATCTGTGAACAAATAATTTTTCCAATTTATAATATCAATTAACATTATAATTTTTCTTTTGAAACATTAATGCCTAAGCAAAACTAACGCCAAGCCAATTTCAGTGGTAAAGATTTTCACGTCAATAAGCCTTTGCATTTCTAAGCGACTACAAAATGAAAACTCGGTCTCGGTGTGCTGTTTCTCTGGCAAGGCAAGGCCATAAAATCCCAAGCATATTTTAGCTAAATAGATTTCCAAATAAAGAAAAGAAAGAAGAAAGAAGAAGAGAAAGAATTTCCAAAATTATTAGAACGACAGCATAGAATTAACGACATTTAACAGTGGCATTCTATTTAGTAGGCAAAATTGATAACTCTCTAGGAAGAGAGAAAGAACAGCCAAACATAGACGAACTATGGACCATTTCGTCTCTCTCACACTTATATGGCCAGTTTTCTTGACAGTTGTTTAGGGAATGCTCAGTCCATGTTATATGTCTTCAGTAAAACATTCACTCACAGTACATGGAAGAAGTCTTTGTCGTAGTCAGTGGTGGCGTTGAAGGTGGCCCGGTAAGTAAGGTGGTGGTGTTGAAGGTGGCCCGGTAAGTAAGGTGGTGGCGTTGAAGGTAGCCCGGTAAGCCCGGTAAGATCGGGGGACGGACGCGGCACTAGCAGCGCGGGGTGCAGCGCGATCGGCAGGATATGGAAGGCGGCAAGTTATTCTGTGTGTGTATGGTGACTACACTCACAACAGATGAAAGAAGTCTTCATCGTAGTCGGTGGTGGCGTTGAAGGTGGCCCGGTAAGTAAGGTGGTGGCGTTGAAGATCGCTCGGTACGCCTGGTTATGTCGGGGGACGGACGCGGCACCAGCAGCGCAGGGTGCAGCGCGGCCGGCAGGATATGGAAGGCGGCCAGTTATTCTGTGTGTGTATGGTGACTACACTTATAGCAGATGGAACAAGTCTCCATCTTAGTCGGTGATGGCGTTGAAGGTGGCTCGGTAAGCCCGGTAAGGTCAGGGGACGGACGCGGCACCAGCAGCGCGGGGTGCACTGCGGCCGGCAGGATATGGAAGGCGGCAAGTTATTCTGTGTATGTATTTTGATTACACTCACAGCAGATGGAACAAGTCTTCGTCGTAGTCGGTGGTGGCGTTGAAGGTAGCCCGGTAAGGGTCACGGTCGAGGGACGGGCGCGGCACCAGCAGCGCGGAGTGCAGCTCGGCCGGCAGGATATGGAAGGCGGCCAGTTATTCTGTGTGTCTATGGTGACTACACTCACAGCAGATGGAACAAGTCTTCGTCGTAGTCAGCGGTGGCGTTGAAGGTAGCCCGGTAAGGGTCACGGTCGAGGGACGGGCGCGGCACCAGCAGCTCAGAGTGCAGCGCTGCCGGCAGGATATAGAAGGCGGCCAGTTATTCTGTGTGTCTATGGTGACTACACTCACAGCAGATGGAACAAGTGTTCGTCGTAGTCAGCGGTAGCGTTGAAGGTAGCCCGGTAAGTGTCACGGCCCAGTGACGGGCGCGGCACCAGCAGCGCGGAGGACAGCGCGACCGGCGGGATATGGAAGGCAGCCAGTTATTCTGTGTCTGTATGGTGATTACACTCACAGCAGATGGAACAAGTCTTCGACGTAGTCGGTGGTGGCGTTGAAGGTGGCCCGATAAGCGTCCCAGTCGAGGGCTGGTGCCGCGCGATCGGCAGGATATGGAAGGCGGCCAGTTATTCTGTGTGTGTATGGTGACTACACTCATAGCAGACGGAACAAGTCTTCATCTTAGTCGGTGGTGGTGTTAAAGGTGGCCCGGTAAGCGTCCCAGTCGTGGGACGGGCGCGACACCAGAAGCGCGGAGTGCAGTGCGGCCGGCAGGATATGGATGGCGGCCAGTTATTCTGTGTGTCTATGGTGACTACACTCACAGCAGATGGAACAAGTCTTCGTCGTAGTCAGCGGTGGCGTTGAAGGTAGCCCGGTAAGGATCACAGCCGAGGGACGGGCGCGGCACCAGCAGCGCGGAGGGCAGCGCGGCCGGCAGGATATGGAAGGCAGCCAGTTATTCTGTGTGTGTATGGTGACTACACTCACAGCAGATGGAACAAGTCTTTGTCGTAGTCGGTGGTGGCGTTTAAGGTGGCCCGGTAAGCGTCTCAGTCGACGGACGGGCGCAGCACCAGCAGCGCGGAGTGCAGCGCGGCCGGCAGGAATGGAAGGCGGCCAGTTATTCTTTGTGTCTATGGTGACTACACTCACAGCAGATGGAACAAGTCTTCGTCGTAGTCAGTGGTGGCGTTGAAGGTAGCCCGGTAAGGGTCACGGTCGAGGGACGGGCGTGGCACCAGTAGTGCTGGATGCAGTGCAGCTGGCAGGATGTGGAAGGCGGCCATCAGCAGCAGCAGCACAGCGCGCGCCCCGCCGCTCAACGGGGTCACCCACAGGCATCCACACAAGGCGCCCGCACCCACCTGGACACAAAATATATTGGGGCACATTAAACTAGCATCCCTTTGCACAAGTGAAATCCATTTTAACGCGATAAAATAGTACCTTTGTCACTCAGGCATAATATGGCTATATACTTATAGTGGTACAAGAATTTTCAAAATCGGTTTTGTAGTTCCATAAATTAATTCCTACCATCGAAACCTTACTTATTTATAGAGATACCATATAGAAGTATCAATCTATACTAATACTAATACTAATCACCACCGCAAGACGCTAGAAAATGAGCAAACATGTATTGAAAATATAGTGAATTACTCAACCTCACCTGAAGGGAAGCGTGAGTCAGCTGCGTGTTTGTATGTTTGTATTGAATAGGCTCCGAAACTACTGGACTAGAATCGGATAGAAATTATCGTGATGAACATAGGCTATAAAGTATCTAAAAAAAGTAAGGGTTCCGTATGAAAACTTTGATAATGTAACCCAGGGTGTGAAAAAATAGCAAAAAATAACCTTATATCGCGATACGCTGCGGAAGTCATCGACAATAGAGCAAAGTTATGTACTAAAGTTTTATAGGGGACATAAATATCTACAAAAATGTCGCAGCCTTTTTTAAAGAACTTTTAAAGGGAAACAATTCCGTCATACATGATTTTAGTGTAACTTTAACCGTTTACACAGCGCACACAACGGAAGCTCACAAATGTTTCTTGTAATTTGTTATTTGATGGGTATGAGTCAGTTTTTGTAACAGTAATATGGTACCTATCTAATGCCGCTTCCTATATACTAAATATAAAATTGATTGTAACTATATATCTTTATCCCAAATAATGTAATGGAAGGTGACTTCAGAAGTATCTCTGAAATCATTTTTCAACTTGACAACTCTGTATATATCAATACAGGGAGAAAAAAGCAGCCCTTGCTGAGTTTCTTGCCGGTTCTTCTCAGTACAAGGTCTCCCGCCGTAGTTTTGCGAACCGATGGCGTAGCTTCTTGACCTTCACAAGTGCTTGTAACAGTCTAGACTGAATAATTGACTTTTCATTTCATTTCAATGGAATATTTTTACCCGTTTATGGAACATTTTTCATCGATGCTCCGCTCCTACTGGTCGTAGCGTAATATTATATAGCAGTATAGTCTACACCGAAGCGAAGTGAGGGCGAGCCACGAGTCTCTTATAATATCATTATTCTAACAAAAAAACAAATATCCTACTTACGAATATTATAAATGTGAACATTTGTAAGTCTGTTGGTTTGTTACTAAATCACGCTAAAACTACTGATCGGATTTTGATAAATTTCGGTACACATATAGTTTATAACCTGGATTGATAAATAGGATACTTTTATTCCCGAAAAAAATCAGGTATTTTTTGGGATCGTCAAAATACTTTTAACATAGGTAAGGCATAGCGGATTTTCCGGATGAATTGGAGCGCCCGCCTGGGGACGTAACCTCCAACTTACACGTTACTGAAGACCACAGTAAAATAACATAACCTTTTAGTGGTGTTGTGTTTCTGTCGGTGAGTAAGGTCCCAGGGCTCCACGGGGAAGGGAAATGGGTCAGGGTAGGCACCGGCGCGTATGTTATTTTTTGTATTGCAAGCATCTATAGATAGGCTTTGGCAGCTGCTTACCATCAGGCCGGACATATGCTTGTTTGCCACATTCTTAACAAAAAACTCAAGTTAACGCAGACGAAGTCGCGTGTGGTTGCAGCGAGTATTTTTTGCTCTTATCGAATACTTCCAAAAGTAGTAATGAAGAATGTCTACGATACAGAAATTTCAGTGGTCTGTTTATGATCTTTTAAGCTTGTAATACAGATAAGCTTTTAAGAAGTTTTTTATAAAAATACATTTTAATCGATCTTTTAACGAATATGTCCTATCCATACCAAAGGACAATGTTAAAATTGGCCTAAGAACCAACACCAATTTGGCATTTATGATAATTCTTAGTATATTTTTTTTGCGATAATTATCAGTATTTAGATTGTGACGGACACTTCTAGTTAAGTAAGCTATATTAAAAAGATAAAAAATAATCTGAGACAATAAGTACCATTTTATTTGTGTATAATCTATGACAGCGCTGCAAACAAAAAACTCTTTCTTCCTAATGCCGGCACTTCACTTGGCTATTCGTGTTTGCTATTTGAAAACTTGACATCAGTCTGTCCTTTTCATTCCTTATTAAGCATGACAAGGACAGACTGTTGCTGACAGAAAGGCTGGCATAAAACTTGATACTCTGTAGTTGTGGTGCAGGCAGTTTGCATTCGTAGTAATCTGTGGCAATCGTGCTTTAGGGTGCGGCCAGAGTGCACTCAGATTCAGATTCAGATTCAGATTTCGAAAACAAGCGCGAGAAATAAACAGTGTAGTCGAAGGGTACGGCCAGATTGCACTCCTGATTTAGATTCAGATTCAGACTCAGAAAACAAAGCGCGAGAAAAAGCAGGCAACCTGCTTAGACTACACTGTTTATTTCTCGCGCTTGTTTTCAGAATCTGAATCTGACTCTGAATCTGAGTGCACTCTGGCCGCACCCTTAGGGTACGGCCAGAGTGCCTGAATCTAAGAGATCCTGAGTGCACGGCACTCTGGCCGTACCCTTATGCGCTAGCATCACTATCACTATATTAATAATTGTTGTTCGTGCGTGCATTGTCATTTCGAATTACCTATTGTGTGTGTTTATTTGCGATTGTTTTTCCTTTAATTTAACTATTTCGGCTACCTTATATGCCATCGATGTTACCAAAGAGCAGAGACCTTATTAACAAGTGCTAGTGAACCTGTGCCACAACATCCTAAGAGGATCATACTGCCAAATTATTCAAGAGCGCCTGATACACATTCACGCTGCATATTTACACAATATATATGTGATATACAAATAAATACAATATGATACAATTATGTGAAAATAGTCAATAAATAAGAAGCAAAACTGCAGTTTATATTTTATTCATGATTCCTACCTAACCAAGTTTTTCCTAATATGTAGTTATTCTTAAAATCGCACCGAATAAAAATGAATTAGTTGTAATATTAATTAATTTCATACTGAGTTCATAGGTTGACCTATGTTTCATATAATATTAACAGAACCTCAAAAAATATTAGGTTTTCCTGTTAATTTAAGTTCTCAGAAGTGTCCGTCAATAATCTTTGTTTTTACAGTCATTTACTTGCAATTTCGAACCTAGAAAATAATATCTCATGATTCTTCATGATTGTTCTAAGGCTAACAATGTCCTTTATTTAATTAATTATATTTTCATCAAAATCGAAAGAGACATTATTTTGGAATGAATAATTTTGAATAATTATTGATTAAATCTAACTTGGATTAAGATTTGAACAATCTCTTTCAACAGACTAAAAAAATGTGCACATTTAAAACGTATTGTGTAACTTATAGAATCTTTTATTTGATTGGAAATTCTGTCGAAAACAAATATTGCTTACGTGGTAGTAATACGAAGGATGTATGCAGCGCCGCGCGCCGCTATGTGCTGGTGCGTCGTCGCGCAGGCCGTCTTGCAAAACCGTCTCATAGCTCCCGCAGACTATCTGGAAAATTATATTCAGTAATTATGAAATCAACTTAAGTGTTTTTGATATTTATTAACCTCTACAGTCTGGTCAAGGTAGACTCTTACCAAAGGAGCAACGTTAGCGGCGACGAACATTGCCATGTTGAACGTGCCGCAGGTCAACTTCCAGTATGGACTGACCGATTTTTTCTAAAATCAAATAAAAAAAATCTATTATAATGATATTATGAGGCTTTTCTTCAGTAATGAGTTTTTTTTTTTATTAAACTTTGGTAATGTCACATCGTAATACCTACATTAGTCATACAAAGGCATGCAGGCACTAAGCATAGCAAACTACGAAATTTTTCACGAGTTAATGTAGTGTGTTTACGTTCTATGAATGCAATATTAATAATGTTGGCGAAAAATAAATACAAAAGATAATTTAATTAAACAAAGCCTACCTAGTCTATTTTGTGCCCGATCACTACTATTTCAAAATAATGTTTAAGTTTTAAATGTTACTAGCCAGTTTTATAATATTAAGTACACCCATGTACTTGTAGGTATTATGAATAAATTAACGTTTAGTAAAATTATTTTCATATTACTGTAAAATAAAGCTCGAAATTCCTAATAAAGTTAAAGTAAGTATAAATCACCGTTAAATTTAAAAATAATATTGAATTTTCTCTGTTATTATATTTATTAAAATCGCAATTTATTTTGAATTTGCTCGATATAAAGATAAATAGAGTGCACACCTTGTACTGAGCATAGCGGCAGCAGGCATAATACGCGACGTTGATCAGTCCAGTCTCCAGCACCAGTGCCAAGTATACCGCGTGGAGTGCCCAGGCTGGTGGCACCGCGAAGTTAGCCAGCGATACGACTGCCGGCATCATCATCAACGGCGGAGCTGCAACCGTCAGAGGGTACGGGTCATGCCGTCGAGCGAACGCCGCCTCCAACTCCTTCGCTTTGAACGTCAAGCATAGCGTTGTCGCATCCGCCAGTTCTCTGTTGACGGAAAATAGAAAAGTATTGTGTGGTTTCCGTTAAAAAGGAACACAACACCAGAAAAATACACAAGAAGAAAATCTAAATTTTCCATTTTAATGTGCTTACTACATACATATTTTGTTTATTGATAATTTTAAAGAAAGTTAATAAGTTATTATTCTAGAAATAAAAATCAATCTCATTTAATAAATTCTCAAAGTGTGATTAATCACAGGAAAACTGAATAAGTCAGTGTTAATTTATTGAATTTTGACTTTATATCATTAGATACTTTGATAAGGATTAATGATTGTGTATTATGATTTTCATGTAATGTGTTTTTAACAGTTGCATTAGGTCACCGACAAAAAATATGATTAGATTTAAATTGATTCTTGAATTATTTCAAACTCAGCTATTGTATTCTTAGTTTTTATGTTAGCTCGCAACGATTGCCCATTGTAACTGTCAGTGGATAATTATATGCATCGATAAGAATAATAAGCAGATGATTAGCCACGAATTTTAAACTACATGCTAAATGTTACACTTTATAATTATAATGCTGTAATCAAACTAAAGTTTCCGTTAGCTAATTATGTTAATTGTCTCCTTAAAAAATTAGAGAAAACGAGTAACAAAAACTCACTTGTCGTCGTCTCTATTCACGAGTTCTTCTTGCAACATCTTGTGTATTTTCTGTTCCTCATTCTCCTTGGTCTCGTCTTGCGGCGAGAGAACCTACGAATAATTTACGAAGCGTCTCTATGTAATTCAAAAGCAAAATATCAAAATGGATGCTCATGATAAGAGGCATGGTTCGATACAGGTGCTCGATACTAATGAGCATTTCGATCCGGATAAACCCTTGGAAGCCGTCGAACGTATGTAGCTAGACTAGTACTAAGTAGGTTAGTGCATATTACGAGCCTAGTGGCCCAGTGTCCTAGATTTATTTAGGCTGGCAACGACCGGGGCGAGGTATGGGGAGTCGGGAGGTGGGAGGCGGGAGCTGGGAGCCGGGCTAGTAGTGCACTCACTGAGTCCTCGTCGTCGTCTTTGAGGTCGGATAGCGAGTCGCTCGCGTCACCTCCCTCCGCAGCCTCGCCTTCCGGCGCGCTTCTTTCTTCCCCTCCCAGGTACTAGAACAGAACAAAGTAGATCATATCAACAACCATAGATTGCATCACAACAGAAGAGACGATTTAATTTAATGGATTGATTGATGATTTGTTGCGGATACAATACATTGAAAGACAATATCAATTACAAGAAATTTCTGAATATTATAAGATGTGCCGTGTTGCATGCCGTTGCGATTTGAATAACGTTTGATGAAAAACCGACTATTCGACGTGTGTGTCTTTTAAATTGAAGGTTGACTAGGTTTTCGTAAATTGTGAATCGATTTTTAACAGACATCAAAAACAAATTTCTCAGTTTGACCTGTATGTATGTACGTTTTTCCGCGATTTTCTGAAAAACTACTGACCCGATTTGGATAGTGTTTCTGGAATATTTATCAGGGAAGGTTTTAGTGCGTGGTCAGTTGGAAATCGGGTGCCACGACCACGCCCGCACTTAGGAGCGCGCATTGGGGGGACCTCGGTCCCAAGATGCGGGCCGGGTGAACGGTGCAGGAGCATTGTCTGGGTTTTAGTGGCCCTGTTCAGGGCTATAGGTAGGGCCCTGCTCATTTCATTTTATCCGGCCCAAGGGCTGGTTGAAATGAGCAGGGAGGAGTCCCACATACCTTCTTCTTGCTCCCCCGGTGGTTGAAGGATGCGTAAGGCATTTAAAAAAGGAAGGTTTTAGTATATAATATACTAGCAGTGTCCCATAGCTTCACCTGCGTAGATCGATGGGAAGAGCTCGCGTAAGCCAAGTGTTTTGCAGGGAGCTCATGATAATGGCATTGACTTTAAATTATATAACTCAGTAAATTTATTTTTTTCATTTTCAGTGTTTTTTTAAGTTTTAATCACTAGGTGGTTCCATATTTACCAAGTGAGGACCTAATACATAGGACCCGAAAAAAACGAGGAAAATTTTAAAAAATATAAAGACAAGTTAAACATGAAAAATTTATAAATTAAGTCCTACTACTCAATTTCCTCAATTTTCTTTCGGAAATCACGAGAAGCGCTTGCAGTCTCGGAGAAGAGTGACAGTTAATGAAGACCACACGATGATCACCAGAACTACTCAACAATAAGTCGTAAGGTTGTGATTATTTTTTCGTTTGCGTCAGTTTCCTTTCGAGGTGGTTTAAATACCTCAATTTAAATAAAAACAAATGAGGATACTGTGTAAATCTACTGTAGAGTGCATATTAAAATATTTTACAACAGTAGCTTTACTCATAAAATGATCAGTGTATACGTGGAGCATACGTAACAGGCAGGCGAGCGAGGCCTGCGCTCGACACTATGACGTAAATGTCTGCTACGGAAAGCCGTTGTTTACGTTATTCACTTGGATTTACGTGATGCATAATGGACGTTTGCTAAAATCAAGACGCTCCTTTTCATGAGTCACTCTTGGATCTGTTAATAAAAGTGGGATAAATAGTTTACATGAAAATAAGTTCGTAGAAGAATACTTACTCATTCTACTTAAAAAATAAGCTTTTTCCATTTTTAGGGTTCCGTACCTCGAAAGGAAAAAACGGAACCCTTATAGGATCACTTTGTTGTCCGTCCGTCTGTCAAGACCCTTTTTCTCGGGAACGCGTTGATGTATCAAGCTGAGTTTTATATCAAATACTCAAGTCTGCTGTTCCTAGGAGTGGTAAAAAAATCAAATTTCTAAGCCAACGCAATCAAAAGACACAGACAAGGGAATCAAAACCTACAGGCTTAGATTATTTCTCACTAGATAGAGCGTCGTAAACATTGCGATAAGAACAGGCCAGGTTTTATATACTTAACTAACAGTAAAATAAATAACAGTCATGATAATATACAAAGAAACAGCAAAATGGTCTTTTTTTTAATTATGATGATTAATGCCCTGAATTTAATAGTTTAATATAATATTTTCATTTAAAATTTTACGTAATATTTATGCCTCTGTGACGCAAACTTTTGTTTTGCAATCTTATAAACTTTATGAATTAGAATATAATTTTATGGTGTAATTCTTCGCACACTTAACTATTAAATAAAAGCAAGTCATTTGGTCAAAATCACTATACTTTTTCAAAACATTGATCACCTAGTAAATATCTATTTACTACAGCTAAAATAAAAACAGACCGTAAACTAATTTTGACCTTGTTATATTTTTATTTTAAACATCTAACTGTTATATGTATAGATCTAAAGAAATTTGTAATACAAAAAAAAACACACTCTGTGTTGTGTCATGTTTTTTCTTGTACAAACTTCTAGAGATTTAATTAAAACTTTTTGAGTTTAACAAGGTAAGTATCGATATCATGTAGATTTTCAAACCTTTTATTTAAAAAAAGTTGTATAAAAATTACGATTTTGTACAGATACGCAAACAAAAACAGTTAAAGATTACTCAGGGCATACGATAGAAGCTCAAAAAGTTCGTGGAATGACGGGATTTTTTTTTATCTTAACTTAAAGGCTTAAGCCACTGGGTGACTATATTAGCCTATAGTGTTCACAATGTAGCCCGTGTGGGGCTCAACTGTACTCACCACACAGCCTAGATATCGTTATCAGTAATATACGCACTAGGATGGAACCGTATGTTTTTCCTGTCGCACAAAGCTCGAGATGAAGGGGGAGATGGCATAAATTAAACATGTTACGAGTACAAGACTCGTCTACGTCACTCATACGTCACGCGTACATTATGTGTTTCCCAAGTGCAGGTGGCTCGATTGAGCAATCGTATTGAAAAGTGCTTATTAGACAGATTTAGTTCATGTAAAACCTTCGGACAGTTTTGGGAGTTGCTTGAGCTTCAATCGTAGAAGCATCTTGACGTATAGTTTGTAAGACCGGATCATCGGCATCAATTAATATAAGTAATTTTGTATAACATTTAAATAAATAAAGTAATAATTTAAAGTTTAGTTTTTAAAAACCCTACCTGACGGCTCAATTCCGTAATTAACATGAAATTATTTATGTTTTTTTTTAATTTTAAGCATTTAACTGCTAGATGTTTAAATCTAAAGAAAAGTTTACTAGAAAAAAATCCACGCGGGCCAGGCATTGCGGGTTACCTACAATGCGAAGAGATGGCGCAGCCTTGCAGCTTGAGGCTAGGAAAATTTCGACGCGGCGAACAGGGCCGTGGTAGCATAATGGTCAGTGCATTCGCCCGGATTGCGAAGGGTGCAGATTCGAGTTCCGTCCGCTGCCTGGTCCGCGAGGATTTTTTTTCTAGTAAACTTTTCTTTAGATATAATTATTTATCATTTTCAAAATATTTTCCCTTTATAGCCTTATACATTTTTCAGATCTTTCAAATAACTTATTTATACCTTCGCAAAATAATGACATTTTGTCAAGCCCCTGAAAACAGGTAGAAATTGCAGACTTCACTTCTACGTCATCAGAATTTTGTTAATTGAAGCTCTTTCTTGATTTTAGCTCTTTTAAAAATAAATAAATAAAATTTATTTATTTCGAGCAACATAACTCATAATTCTTTTGAGGAGTTCCTCCTTACTTTTGATTACGCCATTCTTACTTTTTTTGGGGAACTTTGTAATGAGACACTGACATCACTTTGAAAATATCAAGATGGAGTCGTAACTTTTTTAACTAATATGATGTTATAGTTTTATTTTTTTAAGGTGAATAATGAGTTACTTATCAACTTTTTTGGTTATTTTTATACGTCTTTTATAATTTCGGCAAACTTTCATCGCGCATCTCGGCATTTTTAAGCAATCATTTCAACACGAAACACAGTAATTGAAGTGCGTATCGCTCAGCGTTGCATTGAACACTAAGTGACGGGAAACGACTTAAACCCCACCAGGTGGATTATATTTTTTTCAACGCATCTGCACTGCCACGCTCTATCTCGGGAGTAAATAATCAAAGCCTACAGGGTACATTCCGTGAACTCAGAAACTTGAAAAACAACTTATCAAAAATATTTTTACATCATCTTAAAGCCCTTCAAATTCCGTGTCTTTTGTGCTCTCAAGCGTCCACGCGACTCGCCCGCCGCGTGATATCGCACCTCGTGGCACCTCTACAGCCTCAACCGTCATCAATATCGAAAAAAGTGTAATGACCTAAAATGTTCCTTGGTTCATTATTGATAACGAGGTGGTTTTTTTTCATAGTTTTGAAGTTTGGCCCCGTTCTCGAGATATCGGAAATTTTCTGTGAATACCCACTGGAGCGAACGAAAAAAAAAAACATTTAAAATGTTACTATATAAATACATGAGGAGCTTGATGGCGTAGGTGGTTAGAGCCATCGGCTTGCGATCGTGGTAATTAAGCAACTTTGCTTTGGAAGGCACGTTAAGCCGTTGGTCCCGGCTGCACCTACCAATCCGCACTGGGCCGGCGTGCTGGGTCATGGCCCAATCTCCCTATTCCATCCACAGGGTAAGCCTGTGCCCCAGCAGTGGAGATTTTAATAGGCTGATGACGATGATATAAATTGAAACTCATTATTTATGTTAAATAAGATAAGAGTTGTTTTGAAAAAACTGTTCCTCGAGACTGTCCATTTAAGTGATTTCGGTTGTTTTTATTGTTATTTATAGGTATAGGTAGTGACAAACTCCTTGAGCAAAACCATAGACAATTTTGCGCAATAGACGTGTTTGTATGTTAAATAGCTACTGCGCAGACTTCCTTGTCTATGGCTGTAGCTCAAACAGTTTTCCGGGGTGTTAACCTAAGTCAAAATAAGATTTTTAAAAAAATTTTGAATGAGCACTCATTAGTTGAAGCTTAAACTAAGTACTTTACATTTCAGATTGTTTTACGATGGTCAGGATCGGGCATTAATCAATGCTAGTAGTGCTAGTATACACCACTAACAAACAGTTCTTACTTGGCTCCATAATCTCAATAAGTACATAAAAGTTGGCACATAAAAGTTTTTATAATAAAATTATAATAAAAAACGGGACAAGTGTCCGATTTTCTTAGATTGTTTGATTAGATAATGTTTCTCAGAACTTACAACTTACACATCTTTTTTTACTTTTAAGTTGGTTTTTTTACTGTTATCGTGTTTTTAGGGTCCCGTACCTCAGAAGAAAATACAGTACCCTTATAAGTTAACCCAGTGGTAGGGGTACCGAGCGAAGCAATAAAAGATGAAGTCAGAGGGTAGAACGATATGTCTGGCAATAACATTTAGCCGCAGTTACTTCAGTTACTCCGTGATCATGGCGTTTGCAACAGTGACGAAATACCGGAGACTCATAAAAGACAAGGTACTTGGTAACAATCCCGTTAATAGCAATAATTTTCTTAGTTCGTCTATTTTGCCAACAACAGGTGCAACGGTAGGCGCGCGAGCATGTCACTAACTTGAATACTGTCATGAAGTTTGGATCGTAATATGCATGGTATGTGCTTTGCCTTGCAATTTACCAATGTAAGCAACTCACCGGTTTGAGCACGCGTACAATAAAGTAGGTCTTGATGCCGGCCTGGCGCAGCATCTCCTCGCGCCGCTCACCGTGTGCTGGTTCCACTTCGAACTCGTCGTTCAGGAAACTCTTGGTCACCTCTGATATATGCACACGCCTACACATTTACAATTTTAATATGTTAATTAACATATATTTATATAGTACTTACGTCCTAATAGAATACCTAGTGGAATAAAACTATTTCACTTTTACACATATTTTTGAATTATTTTGACAATGTAGCAATGTAATCAATATTGGAAGCACAGAACACAGAAAGAGGTTAAGGGTGCTCAAAGACCGTTTGTACGGGAACAAATGTCGCCGACTCGCCCCACTACACTTCCACCTAATAAATAATAACCAATCAAACGACGTGACATCAAACAATCGACCCAATCAGCGCTCACACCTTGCATTGCTAGAGCAACGACGCAATCAGAACCAAGTTTTGATCAAGTTATGAGCATTTGCTCACACATAACTGTAACTACCCCGCCCACAAGTCCCTTCTAACCTCTTTCTGTGTTCTGTGATTGCAAGTTTATATAAGGGGTTTATGGCTTATCCCTCATTTCTATAATATGGTAATGACAAGAAGTAAGATAACTATACTACATTATTTAAACAATAATTCTTACATTAATAGTATTAAGTCTTGTCACTCTAGTAAAATAATGCTTTCAGTTCTCACCCAGCCATGCCGCTGCTCTCCATTTTATTGGCTAATTCAACATCGCGAGAATAAACATCGAATTGCCATTGCCGTTGACCGAGCACACCGGCCAGCACCGCTCCTGTATGGATGCCCACGCGCATGTCCACGGGAGAGTTCGTAGTCTGCTGTACATATCTAAAATAGTTTAAGAAAACCACTTAACCTCATCGTGGCAAAGATCATTCATTGCTTGAGCTACGAGAGAGATCACCTAGACCAGCTATACTCTAAGTGTGTTCCGCGGAACCCTAGGGTTCCGTGATACCTCTGTCGGGGTTCCGCAAGAATTTAGAAATAAAAAAATCAAAACACCTCTCTCTGGTCGCTCCGCGGCTGTGCGGACTCCGCGGCCGCGCGGAGACAAAACGCTATGAATGTTATTTATTTATTTATTTGTATTTGTATAAGCTTGTGTTACATTAGCTGGTACAATATCTCATAAGTTTGGTCTCAACAATTTTATACTTGTACAACGCGTTCGCTCTAAGTTTGCCGGTCTGTGGAATGCGCGTACCCTCCCCCACGTGACAACAAAACTTATAATGTGTCATAGTTTTACCCAAATATCTAACGTACACAATTTTTATTGTTACAATTAAATAAAAAATTTCGAACGTCATACACTCATACCTATCGCTAGCGGCAAACTTAAAACGAGCGGGTAGTATACTTGTAAGCGCTCAGTCTCTTTGATAAAAGCCGCCTCTGAATTAGACGCTATAGTTGTCAACTAGCGACTTTCGTCTCTAACTTCAAAGGATAAAGTCGATATTGTTTACAACGCTATTTTTAAATTTCTGTTTTTATTTTTGCTTTTTGTTTATCAAAGGTGCCGACTCGAGTATTTTCGAGAATATTTGAGATCGAGTCTAGGACTAAGTATAAAAGCGGCGATCGCGCGTTGGCGTCGTCAGTTGATGATTAGCGTTCGGAGCGATAAGTTACTACCTACTTACAAGCTCGCTAGCGAGAAACTGGTGTTCATTGTTTTACTGCCTGCTGTATTCTGTTGTCTCAGTTTTATACATTTCTTCCCTGTAGGTTCTAAATTTAGTCTCTTATACGCAGTAACGATTGTGCATTATTTAAACCCCACTATCCTGACTTGTAACATTATAAATAAAGAAGAATGGAACGTTGGCTTAAAGGTGTTAAACGTGTTCCAACAACATCTTCTAATGACGCTGAATGTTCAAAAGCAATGCGCGCGGAGAATTTAGCAATCACCGATCCAGAAGATGATGCCACGAGTGCCACGACGTCAAGCTCGACGGTTTCAAAGACGAAAAAAAGGAAGTATGATGAATCTTATATCAGTTTCGGATTTGTTGATTCCAACGGCTCACCTCTCTGCATGCTCTGTAGTAAACTGCTTCCTAATAGTTCCATGGCACCTGCCAAATTGCGTCGACATTTAGAAACCGTACACCCCGAGACTAAAGACAAGAATAAAGAATTTTTTGTTCGCAAAAAAGATCAGTTATTAGAAAGTCAAAAAAATATGATGCATGTAACACAAACTACCAACGAAAAGGCCACGGAGGCATCATACTTAGTTAGCTATCGCATTGCACAAGCAGGTGAAGCGCACACTATCGCTGAGAAATTAATAAAACCATGTGTATTAGACATAACAAAATGTATGCTTGATGAAAAATCTGCAAAGCATCTTTCTACTGTTCCGCTATCAAACGATACTGTTTCACGACGAATCCATGATCTGGCAAGCTACGTCAAACAAGAACTAGTTACACGTCTACAAAATACACGATTCGCTTTGCAAATGGACGAGTCGACTGATGTCGCTGGTTTGGCTATCCTGCTGGTTATTGTGAGATATCCATATAAAAGTTCTTTTGAAGAAGACATGCTTATGTGTTCATCGCTGCTTACAAACACTACCGGGGAAGAAATTTTTAATAAAATAAATATATTTTTTGAAGAACATAATCTCAGTTGGAACAATTGCATTGACATTTGTACAGATGGGGCCAAGGCGATGACAGGTAAAACAGCAGGAGCAGTGTCACGAATGAAAAATAAAGCGCCTAATTGTAGTTCCAGTCATTGTATTCTGCATAGACAAGCACTTGCGATGAAGCAAATGCCGTCTAATCTAAAATTAGTTATGGATGAAGCGGTAAAAATAATTAATTTTATCAAATCACGACCACTACAATCCCGATTGTTCTCATTATTGTGTGAAGATTATGGCAGCAAACATAAAACACTGCTGCTCCATACAGAAGTGCGATGGCTGTCTCGGGGAAAAACTTTAACAAGGCTATTTGAACTTAGAGCCGAGTTACAAATGTTTCTTTCAGCAGATACTTCTTTTAATTTGAAGGACCGTTTGTATGATAAAACTTGGTTGTTCCGATTGTCTTTTATGGCGGATATCTTTCAAAAACTTAACGAATTAAATTTATCATTGCAAGGTAAACAGACAACAGTGTTTCAGGCCTATAATAAAATAACTACTTTTAAAAGAAAATTAGATTTTTGGATCATTTGCATTGGTAAGAAAGAAATAGAAAGTTTTACGTTACTCACTGAGTTTGTTAGCGAAAACGACTCAGAAATGTTTGAAGATAATGTGTTTGAAGAATTGGTCCAATATCTCAGTTCGATGCGCGCATCTTTTGAAAAGTATTTTCCCGAAGAACACAATACAAAAATTAAAGTGAACTCCTGGATTCATAATCCTTTTTTACCCAACTTGGAAAAGCCTGAAAACATGTCAAATGAGATATATGAATCTCTTTTAGAAATGTCATCAGACACAAGTATGGAGTCATTGTTCAAAACGACGCCTCTTAATGATTTTTGGTGCAGAATCCAAGATGAATATGCAATGCTTGGCCAAATGGCTCTGGATATTCTTCTCCCGTTCCCAACTACATATTTGTGCGAAACAGGATTCTCTACCTACGCAGCCACGAAAACAAAATATCGCAATAGACTGGACGCCGAAGCTGATATGAGACTCCAACTTTCTTCCATCAAACCTGATATCAAGCAATTGATGAAAAATAAAAAACAGTTTCATACCTCCCACTAGTTAGATTTTTTCTTTTTTAATGTTTTCTATTATTGTCCTTACCAAGTGGTGAAGTAAATAATAATTAGTAACGGATACATTGTACTTTTATTATGCTGATTAATATAGAATACACTTATAAAAATAATTGTTTTATTGTAGGGTTCCATCAAGTATTTTGCTTCCCAAAAGGGTTCCGTCATTTAAAAAGTTTGAGAACCACTGACCTAGACACAAAGAAATCGTGTTAAAATATTTTTTTGGTTTATGAGTGGGGATACGTTTTTAACAAAGGTTAAACAAAAAATATACTAGAATTTCCCTGCGGTTTCACCCACTTTAATTTGAGCAAAAAGGTATAGTGGGCCACCCTTATAAGATACACTTATGCTAAACAGTTCCGTCGTACATGATTTTTATGTTACTTTTACCGTTTATACGCAGCGCACGTAATGGATGCTCACAAATGAAATATTTGTTCGCTTTTTCATTGGTGCTCCGCTGCTATTAGCGTAGTCTTAGCGTTATGTTATAACAAAATCTTCCTCGATATTTTATATAGGTATACAATTTCTAACACAAAAATAATTATTCAAATCGGACCAGTAATTCCTGAGATTAGCGCGTTCAACAAAACAATAGTTATTTATGATACAGTACAGTGGTAAATTGGTTATTACAAACGAGTAGACGAATGTAACCATATTCATTACCATAGTCACGAGTTTGTAAACACCAATTCCTCACGAATGTCATACAACGTTTTTGAACACATTTGTACCTACCTACCTATACCTAATTTAAGAAATGAAGCAAATTTTTTCTAATAAGAAAAAAGCGCGCATTTTAAAATTAGAACTACATTTATTTCATCTCTTTTTTTGAAGTGATAACTTCTTATGGGAACTGCTTCGTTACGTAACGCGTTACGCCGCCAGTCTGTCTGGCTTCACCTCGCCGATAAAGGTGATAGGGTGGCCATAGTGGCCGCAGGCAACCTGCTTAAACTACACTGTATATTTCTCGCGCTTGTTTTCTGAGTCTGAATCTGAATCTGAGTGCACTCTGGCCGTACCCAATAGACACTACAGCCCGCCCAGGTACCAGAGGGTTGTCCCAGTAATTTTCGAACAATGTATACAACCATCGTAAATGCATTTTTTTAGCAAATGTGTTGCAAAATGTTTTACACGCTTCGTTGGATGGCTCGTAATTTTAAACTTTCGAACAGTGTATACAAGCTCCGTAAATGCATTTTTGAGCAAGTGTATTGAAAAGTATCAAACAAACTCTTCAGCTTTATTTAATAGTAATAGATTTACTGATAGATCTGAAAGCAAGATCTGCCAAAATTGACATTAAGGAAATCGGAATTACTCATATGATTATATTATATGAGTAGTAGTAGTAGTAGTATATGAGTAGCGCAATATTATATTCACAGATCTCGTGCTCTACTCGACTTGAAAGGGCATTGAAAATGAATGTACCTAAGATAGATTATTCAATAAAAACATATTTTGAACCAAAAAAAAAAATATTTTAAAACCAACTTTTTAATATTTTTTTATCATCTTAAAGCCCTTCGAATTCCGCGTCTTTTGAGCTCTCATTTTCGCCTCAACCGTCACCAATATTGAAAAAAGTGTAGTGACCTAAAATGTTCTTTGATTCAATACCGAGGTGTTTTTTTCATATTTTTTAAATTCGGCTCCATTCTCGTGATATCGGAAATTTTCTGTAAAAAACGCGATCATTCATTCATCATCCCAAACATTGTCGGACCATCGGACCTGATGGCCGGTCTCTTGGTTGGCATGTGGGTTTATTTCTGACCATACGTAATCATTTCTCCTATTTCACATGGCATTTTTTGTATGTGAAGTCATCAGCCCAAATAATGTGCTCAACGACACCAGCAGCGCGTCGTTGTTGATCAATGAGCCAAAGACAATATTCGCGTTGACGAAGGTGATGAGTGGGTTTCAAAGCTTGCACCTTATGAATTTTATAGGATCGCATTCTGTTCCGACGCAAAACCTTTACGCACTGTCCACTAAGAGACGTATCATATCCAGAATCAGTAACTCTACCCTTTGCCCTTTTTTCGGGAGCGTTTTCCTCACATCCGATATATTAAAATCTGTCTATCTGTTTTTCTCGTTTGTCCCGAGTGAGAACGTAACCAGTGGTGACGACTCGGAAAAATCTAGTCATTCTCAAAGGCGTGAGCAAAGGAAATAGGGATTTATTTTTATAACTATAGATAAAATTTTATATAGAGAATTAGTACTAACAGCTAATCTAACGCTATCTATACTAAAACATAAAGAGGTATTATAAAAAAGTAAGTTGGTGTGGTTATAGGAGGTAATCTCAGATTTACTGAACCGATTTTGAAAATTCTTTTATCGACAGAAGTCTTGTGAGTTTTATAGGCTATATATTAGAACAAACAAAAACTATAGTCTAGCAAGCTGACTAAGCGTAGCGAGGGCGGGGCCCTATTGCTTAACTTACATATTATAATAAATTCATTTAAACATTTATTAAAGAAAACATTAAATCTCCATTGAATTAAAAAAAAACATTATATTAACTATGCTTACTTCTTGTGTCAAAAATACATTGCCACACATACCACAAAATGTAGGTGTTATTTTGGTCAAAATATAAATGGGTGACCTAATTAACTCACTTTATAGCCTTGACCATAGAAAGCCCCATGTGAACACAAAGAACGGCATGGTCTGGTCTCTCCACTGGCGCTCCGCTGATGCAGTAATAACAGTCACCCAGAATTTTTATACGTAATTGTTGATATTTCTGTATGGTAACATAAAACATAATTTATATCATCTTGTTATTTTTTCACGAGAGATTTTTCGTATTTTATGTTATATATTATTTTGCTAAGTTACCTTAATACTTGTCAATTCTTTAATTTTTGAACCTTAATTACTTTAAAATAAATAACTAGATATTTAAATACCGTTTTGTACCTATTTATTACTACAATCATCAATTCTTTATTTGTCATAATTGCCAAGTAATTTCAATTCTATTGCTCTTAACTATGAAGTACTTTCATAAATTGGAGTAGTCTTTTGGATATTTACCTCAGCAAGTCGGTCGAACCGAGCAAACAACTCATTTAATATTGCGACGAGGTCTTGTGCAGAGTATGTAGATGATATTGCTGTGAAACCAACGATGTCTGCGTACAAGATGCTGTCAAAACAGAGACCGGTTAGGTTTCAGTTAGATAAAACTCTATATAATTAATTTATCGGATATTATAGCATAGTCTTATTGTAATTCACCAACCTGACGTTTTCATGGCGTGACATGTAAATTTTTTTGAATTGTGTATCAATTAATCCTAAGTCTTGACGCATTTGGACAGCAACATGTTCCGGAAGTACGGAAAGTAGTAAACGCTCCTAAAACATATAATAAAATAATAGACTATTGTGATAATCTAGTTACAAACGCCGTTTTGCTATTAGGTAACTATGTTTACAAGACCAAAATATCTCAAATACCAACCTGTTCTTTGCTCTGTTGTTCTATAGTTAATTTATCTCGTAAACTTCGCTTCGTTTCTTGAAATGACAAACGTTGAAGTCTTTCAGTAACTACAAATGCTGTACCGCCCAATAGCGAAGCTCCAATTAGCAACAAACCATTTGATAGTTGCTGTACAAAAAGAATAGATTGAGTTCGCGGATTTTGTTTGAATATTGTTTTGAAAAATCAAGGTCACGTATAAACATCTCAGCAGTTTAAATACCTGATAAATGAAGTCCTCAGGAAGTTGACTCTCGGATGAAGAAGCATTATAGTACTGCACGGCCAGGTATCCAAAGAAGGAAATCGAGGCGTACAACAACAAGAGCATGTAGTTAAACGGCATGGTTGCCAGTGTGAAGTATTGCAACATGAATGCCCATCCAAGCAGTTCATTATAAGAGTCTCCAAGTCTACGAGACACGCTCAATAGAAATTGCCCCCACACCACGAACCACGCCACATGATTTAAAGCTAGTCGGGTAGATTTGTTGCAGACGTATACTATGGCCAAGGTAGAATTGACTAGTAAAGATATCACAACGGAAGAATAAGCGAACATTAAGTTCCTTTCTCCTGGTACGAGCACAGCGAACAGTTGTAACAGTACTCCGGAGGCCAGTAGGCGAGGCACGGCGCGTTGGCGCTGCCGCTGCATGTACGCTGAGTACAGCTGCTCTTCTTCCACACCCTGGAACCCCCATGGTGGCAGCAGGCAAGCCCATACTTTGTTCAGAGTTCGCTGCTGTGTAGACTTATCCATGTTTTCAGAACATTTCCCTTTCCATTGTCCTCAGATTTTTCTTCATCTAATTTTATGTACTTATCAATGTGGCAATATAGACACACTTTCGTTCTCTTTATCTTTACTTCAAAACATAGTTTTATCGATTTTCACCGAACTTCGCTGCTATACATTTTTAAACAGTGGCCTAAAATAATACGGTGTTTGTTAACAACTGAAGATAATAAAAGGAATTAAGAAATTACTTATTTCAATCCTCTTTGCCAACATTAACATATTTGGAAGACAGAAAATACATTTTGATATATACTAACTGTAAAATATTGTTTGATGTCGAATTAAAATATGAAAAAGTGAATGTCACGTGAAATAGGGACAGGTTGCTACATGGCCATGCGGTGATAAGGTAACTAATCTCCTGTGCCCATGCACGTCAGAGTTCATCAAGCGGAGACTTTCCGTTAGCGTTGGCCTAATCGAGGTCGCCTGTGTAATGAATAAATTACACGCTGAAACATTGTTTCGATACCCATTCATTAACTGGGCCGTCTCTATACACACCGAGAAGTCGTTTTGTGTCCAGATACACAGACATACTAATTACAATATTGACAATCGTTTTGACCAACGTAACTAGTGTGACCATGGAATCGTTAACAAAGTTGTTTTACTCATTTTTACAAACTGCCATTTGCCACTGATTGGTATGTGCTATGAAATTTTAATAAACTTGAATGTTTAATATTTTGTAGTATTGTTTTCTATCAAGATTTGTGAAAAGTAATTTCAATAAACCGTTATTTTTAAACTTTCTTGTACCTATACCTATAGTGATAAATTATTTTATCTACACCCATGCTTTAAAACCGCTATTATAGATTCCGAAACAGCTTATTGCCAACATAAAACATCCAATGGGTGTTGTGATGGTTTTTTTCAATAAGTTTCATGATATCACTTTCGCTTTTTAAATACCTTCCGCGACAAGAGTTTGCTCATCAGACAGCCACAATTTTTAATACTGGATACGTAGTAATATGAATTTAAAAAATTAACATTGTCATTTACGCTCTCTTTACTAAGACAGCGACGAATTTTTTCATGAATTTTAAGTTCTTAGAACGCCACATGGTTTCAAAATCTTTTATAAAGGATTCATATCATGGGTATGCATAAATTCTTGTATGCAACTGTTATAATTAGGTATTAAAACACGCATTTGATACTATTGCCACCCACAATCCACATTCGTGTTTTAATACCCCTCATTATACAACAGTTGCATAAATAACTAATGGACTATATCACTTTCAGTGATATGTTCGTTTTTTTCCATTTTTAATTGTAAGTAAGCATAATTAAATTCTATATTTACGTTTGCATAAATAATTTAGTAAACTTATTTGCTTTAATGCTTAGGCTTAGTCCAACATTATAGTAAAATGTATAACATAAAAACTGAATTTCATCAATAGAAGTCTTATTAATGAATCAGTATGCAACATCATTATTTATTGTAGCAACCGACTATTAACGTAAACCTAGGATTTAGTGACTATTACTAATATAATGTGTACCTAGTTGATATAATATTTACGTTTCCAATTTACAATTCTGATATCCACCGCGTTTAATTCTTTTTAGTAAATCGCAAGTAAAGAAACTATTTGCTTATATCGTTAATTATGCTCATAGGTACTTACAAGTATATTGATTTGAGTCAATAAGATACTATAATAGTTTTATCAATTTTGACATTCGTTACAGGAGACCGTCACTAGCTTGTAGCTATTGGCGGATGCATTAAAATCAATGACTATCCTAAAGCAAATCAAAGTTCTAAGCCTACGTACACTGAGAAACAATTGCCTAAACCTTAAATAATAATTTACAGACTTGATAATTTGGGTAAAAGCAGTTCCCGCCGAATTGAAAGTGACTATGATAAAAGCAATCTATAAAAGACTCACTATTTGACCCATTAATGGTAAATCACTAGGAGATCGGGTGGGTGTTCTATCTGGGCGATGCGTACTTTGATGTTATGGTTACTAAAGTGTTAATATGAAATATGAAGCGGTGGTGATCCCGAATATTGAACAAGGGGCACGGGGCACGGGTGGTTGGTGACGCCAGCGGCGCGAAGGCGGTCCGCGCACGTGCTGGCGCGCGACTGCCGCGCCGCTGAGCCGCCCGCCGTGCCTGCCGCCGCGCCGCCGCCCGTCGCCCGCCGCCCGACCCCAGGCCGCCGCGCGCCGCCGCCGCCCAGCCACTCAGACCTCCGACTCCAACCCGTAACACTACATCGATTCCGCTGTCCTGTAGCACACGTTACATCCACTCCTCCTTTACTCGCCGTTATTGATAAACACAGTTGCGGCAATTCATAAAATACATAAGTACTTAATAACCACATTAAAAAATTGTATGCGTAAGTACAAACTGAAAGCACACCGCGAAAGAAAATACATAAAACATCTTAAATATATAATGGCTCAATTACACTTGGTCGGTAGCCCGAATACGATTGGAAAATGAAATTTGGGTAAACGACTAAGTGTAAATGAACGGAGACGAGTACGCCCGTATTATTAGTAAATATAGCTTTCTGCCCGGAGCTCCGGTGCCCGAATTCCAGTAATGTCTTTCGTATACCCGAATACGGGCTAACGAACAAGTGTAATTAAGCCATAATGTAGAGATCTAAGATTTTTTTCATTTAAGAAATTGTACCTAAGTAAGTATATCTGGAGACATTTTCGCAATCGTAAAAACTACGATTAATACTCAGGTGAAAAAGGAGCGGTTTTAATTTGCAATACATTATCTAGCTATTGAGAGCGGTAACGATAGCTAAAAATACTTTTTTAAATGCTCATCTGTTTGGAGTGGAGTGGAATATGGAGTTAACTATTGTTAGTAAAATAAAAACTTTTTAACAAAATAAATAAACCGCTTATAACTGAAAGGCAACAATTAATAAATCTTTTTTAATCTTTGGTCAAATAAATATTTGGAGATGGTACAATACCAACCCAAGTAGTAAATGGGAACTCAGATCTATCGGACATGCATGAAATATTCGCTTTTCAGTTAAATTTTTTTGTTAAAATTTTTATTTTATTATTTTTGAGGCTTAAATTTTTGTAATATTTAACTCAGCATCAAAATCTGTAAGTGAACTTTCGCCCCTATTTTCCCATACTTAACAGGATTCATCATCATCATCATCCTATTAATGTCCCCACTGCTGGGGCACTGGCCTTCCCAATTGATGGAAGAGGGAGATTGGGCCATGACCCACCACTCGGGCTCAATGCGGATTGGCGGGTTCTAACGACTGCAGATGCAGCCGGGACCAACGGCTTAACGTGCCTTCCGAAGCACGGAGGAATTCGAGATAGAAGATTTTTGGTCACCCATCCAATGACCGACCACTGCCAAAAAAGTTGCTTTTTTCAAATCTTTGAAATTCATGAGCTCCTCTTCTTAGTAGGATTATAGTTTCCAAATTTACCAACCAACTTCAAGGTCTATCCTATCCAATATAAAAAGAATCATCAAAATTTAACTACTCTGGTAAAAGTTAGGCGTGGTCAGTTAAGTATGAGGACAAATCATGACCGTAAATTTCAAAAAGAAACATATCACCACAAATGAATGGCTTATATGCGAGTCTATCAGCATGTTTATTTCCCAAAATTCCCTAATGTCCAGGAATCCAAGCGAAATGAACAATTAGCCCTAGCGACAAACAAGTTTGTGTTAAACGCCTGCATTCATAATAAAAGCTTGCAATGCACTCTGTGAGTCCGTAAAAATAACGGTATTTTTAAGTTCTAATATTGTTGTAAAGACTTTTAAGTAAACCAAAAAAATCTCCTGTAAATATTGATAGTTCAGGTTGCAACTTAACCTTTTGTACAATTTTATATTGATGATGATCAACTCCTACACATTCTGAGCTATTTATGCTTTGAAGCATCGCTATAAATATGATGGCATTCGTACTACCCTTGATCAATAAAATAATTCATCACTATTCAGGAAAATATGTGGAGATAAAATTAGAGATTCAAAAGTGCAATTCTACTTAGTTATTATTAAAAATAAAATGATGTCTTCTTTAACTTCAATATTTTATATACTTACCTTCCCTCCGTGTGACAAACCCCATGGGAGGTCCTGTATATGTATCATTATATGAAGGGCTAAGGGGGGGAAAATACTTAGTCACATTCTTTAAATTTAGTAGTACATAGAATTAACGTTACGACAGCATTTTATGACTGATTCAGAAAAGTTGAATTTAATAGAGAATTTAGCATAATACAGGTAAATGTTATAATTTTTGTATAAAAGATGCCTAAACAAAAAAATCATTGAAACACTGGAAAAACAGTCTTGGAAAAAAGGAGGTAAGTTCAGGACTTGTTACTCCAATGAATTTTCATTATTGAGGCCTAAGTTGAAGTTAAATAAATAAATCAAATATCAGCTTGGTAAACAATAATTTTTAGAGCTTTTATTTAAATTGCAATGTATGTATGATTGTTTGTTCGGATGGAATCTTACAACTCAATTTTGAAGCAGATGTTTTCATTCAATTGAGCTGAAATTTTGTACACACGTTTTGTTTGAATGACAATGTAAGGTTAGCTCTGTGACGTCATTCTAAATCCAATATGGCGGAACATACATTACATAGATACATTAAAGGTATCAAATAGCCCTTTGCTTGCTGAAATTAACTTCAAAAAATATAGTGACGTCGTCGACGGTTTTTGTAGTCCTTGATTTTGTCCGCGACTCCTAAAAAGTAAAAAACTTTTTTTAAAACACGTTTTTATTGACGCTAAAAAGGATTTTTTTTTCTTTTAACTTTTGACGTCATTACAGAGTTAATAAAATACTAAAGCCTGTTGCACGAGTTTTATCTATGTAGATAAATAAATTTTGTATTTGATATAAACTTAAAAATTTGTAAGTAAATATCAGTTGTGTCGATTCTGAAGTAATTCTCTAAACTTAAAACTAAATTTAACATCGGTCTCTCCTTTTCATTCTGCATTAAGTTTAGGATTAGAGTCTTCTTCTTCTTCTTCTCAGCATTATGAGGTCCACTGCTGGACATATGCCTCTTGCATGACTCTCCAAGAAGTTCTTGATGCGGCGGTTCTGGTCCAGGTCGGCCCTGCCGTCTTTTTAATGTCGTCCGACCATCGGACAGGTGGTCTGCCGGCACTTCTGCTTCCTGTGCGAGGTCTCCAAAGTAGGGTTGTGTACGACCACCTGTTGTCGTCTCTTCGAGATACATGACCAGCCCGTTGCCATTTAAGTCAAGCAACCCGTTTACCTATGTCGGTAACTCGGGTGCGTTGGCGAATGTCTTCGTTTCGTATTCTGCCCCTTAAAGAGACGCCAAGCATTGCACGTTCCATTGCCCTTTGCGCTACTTTCAGGCGGTGGAGTATCCCGACAGTCAGCGTCCACGTCTCACAAGCATACGTCATTACTGGGAGAACGCATTGATTATAGACGCGTGTTTTCAGTGATTGTGGGATTTTGGACTTGAATACATCTTCGAGTTTTCCGAAGGCTCCCCAACCTAGCTGTATTTGTCTGTTAACTTCGTTTTCCATCGAGTCTTTACTTAGCACGATGTTTTGGCCTAAGTAGGTATAATTGCTCACTCATTCGATCGTTACGCCATCTATTGAAATCGTCGAACCGTCAGTGGTGCTCATCCACTTAGTCTTTTCGTGATTCATTTTCAGGCCCACTCGGAGAGACGCGTCTTTCAAATCCTTGAGCATTTTTTCAAGACCTTCTCGCGACTCACTCAGTAAAACGATATCGTCAGCGAAACGGAGGTGGTTCAAGTGCTCTCCGTCTACATTTATACCCAGATCTTTCCAGTCCACAGTTTTGAAAATGTCTTCAAGGGCGTTTGTAAACAGTTTTGGAGATATCACATCACCCTGACGTACACCTCTCCTTATTGGAACAGTTGTTCTGGCCCCTTGAATTTCAACTGTCATTGTGGCAGATTTATATAAGCTTCTTAGGAGCTTGATGTACCTGTAGTCGACTTTGCATCTCTGAAGTGAGTTGAATATAGCCCAGTGTTCCACCGTATCGAACGCCTTTTCATAATCCACGAAAGCAAGGTAAAGTGGTCTATTATATTCTAGTGATTTCTGTATCACTTGTCTTACCGTGAATATATGATCAGTTGTACCATAACCTTTTCTGAATCCCGCTTGTTCCCTGGGCTGCTGCTCATCTAGCCGATTTGTAATCCTAGATGTAATAATGCGTGAGAATACTTTGTACACTTGACTTAGCAGCGAGATAGGGCGGTAATTCTTAAGTTTTGTCTTGGGACCTTTCTTATGAAACGGGACAACAATACTATCAAGCCACTTGTTCGGTATGTTGCCAGTGAAAAGCGCTTCGTTAAATATCGAACGAAGTTCTTTTAGAATTGTCCGACCACCTGCTTTTAAGAGTTCCGTCGTTATGCCGTCTTGTTCTGGTGACTTATACTGCTTTAGTTGTTTTAGAGCTTGTCTGACTTCATAGATACTAATTTCAGGAATATCCTCTGTATAGTGTCTTGTCAGAGGTGCGCGTTTATCAGCAGTGTCCACGACAGTCGGTTTGCAAGTATGTGTGTTATATAAGTCTCCATAGAATTCAGCTATTATACTTAGCAACCCAGAAGTTTCAGTGACTATTTGTCCTGTGCAATTTTCTAGTTTATTTAGTTGGCTTCTTCCGTTGCTAGTAGCCCTACTAAAAACTTTGGGTCCTCGATTTTTTTCGATTAAGCGCTGATTCTTATTGGTGTTCCTGTTACGTATATCTCGTCTCAATGACTTAGATATCTTTTTGTTTAGGTTTCGATGTTCTTCAGAGTTATGTTTCTCTGATCCTAGGTTCCTTCTAAGTTCCAGCAGCTGTTTCGTTTCGGAAGTCATGTCATCTTTAACACGGGAAGTCTGACAGAATACTTCATTAGCAGTTCTTGTAGTAGCGGCTATGAAGTTGTCATATTTCTCGTTGAGGCTTGTCTCGAAATATTCAACGTCAGTTCGTTTTAAAGCTAGACTTAGCTTCTCCTCGAATTCTTTATGTATTCCTTTAGATATGATTAGATTTGTGAGAGGTTTCTTAAGGAGTTTACGTCGGTCCATTCTAGTATTGATCCTTATTGTGGCTCGTACTAGTCTGTGATCACTCATTTTAAGTTTTTTGAGTACGGTGACATCAGTGATCATGTGTTTTCTGTCTGTACAAATGAAATCAATTTCATTCTTCGTCTTTACATCAGGACTAGCCCAGGTCCACTTTCTTGTCAGTTTCTTGGGGAAGAAGGTGTTCATGGCATAGAATTTCTTTGATTCCAAGTAGTTGACTAATGTTTGTCCACGGTTGTTCCTTAAACCAATTCCAAATGAACCAATGTAATTTTCTGCCTCTTTATGGGTCCTTATCTTTGCATTGAAGTCACCCATGACTATATTATATTGTGTTTTATTTCCTGCTTGTAGGGCCTTGTCTATGTCTTCGTAAAATAGTTC